CTGCTACTGCTACTGCTGCTTCTCCTGCTGCTACTGCTGCTACTACTACTACTACTACTACTACTACTACCACGACGACTCCTACTCCTACTCCTACTACGACGGCGACTACTACTACTACTACTACTACTACTACTACTACGAGCACTACTGGTAGCTACTACCGTTAGTGGTTTATTTGTTGCTATTTGCGTAACTTTCTGTGTATATATATATATGTATATATATATATATATTTTATGCCGTATCCCTAATCCACCCCAAGCACAGTGTTCTGTTCCAAGTCCTTCTGCAGTGTCAGTTTGACAGCCTCGATCTCGTCCTCTGTCACAGTCAATGCTAATGCAAAAGCTTTCTGGACGAAGATTTGTGTGTTGTTGGAGTGTTTAGAGTTAGAGGATCTACAAGTAGGAACCCAAACTCCAGCGCACCCCGCAAGGAGATGCGAAAATATCTCAACAAATTGCCGGAAGCCCCACCTCAGTCCGACAATCAAACATAATCTGAAGGTTCCGACAGCTTCATCCGAGACGCTTACATAGTATAAACTCGACAGTGCTGGGATTCTACCAAGCATATAGTCGCGCTCGTTGTCACAAGGGTTCCGTGAGAGATCCTGGAATCCCTGAACTTGAGTTGTATGCAAGCCCGCCAATGCCTGCTCTAAGACCGGCGGAAGGACAATCAACCCTTGGAGTCATATGGGGGCCTCAATAGTCACAAGAGGGTCTTGGGGTACATTATACCATAGGTCTATGGGTCAGGCCTCAATAATCACAATAGGGTTTGGGGGTACATTATACCATAGGTCTATGGGTCATTCTTTAAGCGCCTACTATTACTCCAACAAGGCGAAGGAGTTTTAATCATGCCCGGCATCCTCCAGCTTCCGCACGGCAGTGCGGACGGAGTCCTCCCATGTTTCAGTGGCCTCGTCCGACTCCTTTGCCATGGCGATGATTTTGATGGTGTTTGCTATTGCGATACAGTTATGAAAAGCTGATGATTATGGACACGGCGCTAGTGGCGATTATGCTGATGATGATGATGGTGATGATGATGATGGCGGTGATAGAGCTGCTGGTGCTGGCGATGGTAGTGGCAATGAACGTATATCTTGCAGCTTAACTACATGCGTCCATCTCTTGGCTATCCTCGAAGATATACGGCTGCACTACACCCGCTGTATCTCAGGGTATCATGTAAAACAGAAGATGCGCATCCTCCTGAACGGCTAGACTGGAAGCTGGAACGAAACTACATCAATATCAGTCAATATATATATATATACATATTATATATATATATAGAGCTGTGTGTATATATATATATATGTATGTATATATACATATATATATATATATATACACATATCGGAGCTTAGCTCAAACTTCGAGAGCTATCACGATCAGAGGAGCTGGACCTTGAGGCTGTTATTGGGAGATTTTCGGGCGACTTGTTGAGTCATCTCTGGCTTTGGAATGCTTTTAGGGGTTAGGGTTTAGGGGTTTAGGGGTTTAGGGTTTATAGGGGTTTAGGGGTTTAGGGTTTAGGGTTTAGGGGTTTAGGGGTTTAGGGTTTTGAGTCTATTTCGCCCCAGACACGATGATCTGCAGGTGCAGCGCATTGTTCTCTGCTTGGAGGCGGGGGTTCTCAATGCGGAAGACCTGCCAATGCCAAATTCTAGGGCTCCAGTAACCTAAGTAGTAGGTCTACTGGGTAGGGTTTAGGGTTTAGGGGTTACTAACCATACAATGTGTAATTAACCCAGTAACCCATGTAACCCATTTGTTGCGTAACTCGAGCTCTATAGGGGAGGAGTAGGCTCACTGTGCTTTCACAGAATTCAGCAAAGCCGTTGCACAGGAATTGCAAGATTTCCCGTCAGGGTTTAAGTCTCTAGGGTTCATGCAGGGCTTATAGGGTTTAGGGCTTGGGGCTTAGGGTTTCGGACTCCGACCCCACCTCGAGCTCCGAGATGAGGGACTGCAGACGCTCGGTGCCCTCCGTGTCCCGGCGTTTCAAGTCATTGAGGCCCGCTGTCGAAGCGATCAAATCGTTCAACATCGTTTCGACCAAGAGCACGGAGTCTTCGCTGAGGGTCTGATGGTAGCAGTGCTTGTTGAGCTTTACTCGGAGGGCGCGGCAGCGCTCATCAGTGACAGCTGCCCCCATGCTCATCCCTGCCGCAACCGCACGATCCTTTGCCGTGCCAGCGGTGCACGAAGCTGCAGGGGCGGTGCTGCGCAACCCCCTGCAGCAAGGTGCCTACATGATCTGCACCATGGCGAAACATCTGGCTTCCAACTGCATTTAGGGTTTAGGGTTTAGGGTTTAGCGTAATCTTGGTCTGGCTTCGACTGTGGAAAGATTGCAAGTGACGATAGCCATGTGCACTACCTGGGTTCTTGGAAGAGTTGGGTTTGGAGTTGTCAAGGAAAAAGGCGGAATGGTGAAGACGACAAGACAACCGGCTCAGATGTTAACGAAGGCCAAACATACTTGTCCTGCTGGCTCTAAGTCTCGGGCATGTCGAAAAGCCCTCAAGCCAATGCTGAGATCGGCGGCTGATCAAGCAACATGCACCCTATGCAATGACGTCGTGGCGGCGGGATACGAAGTTCTCCCCCCTGCAAATGTAGAAGAGCTGACCTCCAAATCTTGCTGCAAAAGCGCGGGTCTGGTAATCACAAGGAATCACAAGCACCATGTCCCAGTCGCCTCTCAAAGAGCCGTGGTGTAGCATGTGTACGCTGCTAGCATGTCAGCAACTTGTCGGGTTGACGCTAAAGGTGAACCGAGAAGGTGGGGAGAACAACGATGGCACACGGGAGGGAGCGTATGGATGATGGTTAGGTCAGCTAAAAACAATCCCGAAGTTGTGACTGATAAAGAGAGCTGACGAGGATCATCAAAACGAAGTCATTGTTATGGCGCTGGTAACTTTAGCATGATGCATCTGCGGTCATGAACCCATGTATCGGCAGGGTTGCTACCTTGCGACATTGATGGCTATACATCTTCTCCATGAACACTGATGCTTGCTGCTAGTTGTCCTCACGAGCATCCCATAGAGACTACTGCCTCGAACGAGTCCACCGCAAGGCACTTGCGGCCATACTTCTTTGCAAGCCGGGCGAGAAACACCTTTGCCGGAGTAGCAGAATGGTGCACTTGGAAGTTCATGGGTAGTTATAAGTTATAAGTCCCCCAATATGGGTTATAATCTTGGTTACTCTACTTATAACTACCCATGAACCTCCAAGTACTCAAGTCAGCAATGGAGAAGTTTCCTGCTTCCTATCACCTGTGTGTGCGCAGCAGGGGTTCTTCATGCGGGGTTGTATCGTTCCACGGCGACAACTAGCACGAGAAACCTGAACCCATAGATTCTACTCATAGGCCGCATTAGTTCCTTTTTGCGGTTCATATTTTAGAATCCTATGAGGTACTCCCAACAAGGAACTACTATGGGGCCTATGGGTAGACCGAATCAGCGCAACCTGGAGTTTATCTGGAATCAAATGATCACGCAAGGTTGGTCTCACGGTCTGGTGTTGCAAAGCTGTGTGCATGCGCAGGTCTGCTCACATGTGTGCATACATTGAGACACCTGCGCATACCTGCACAGGTACATACATTATAGCATATAGCAGTACAGCACAACACATTACATTGCATGACATTACATTACATTAGCTACATCACGGCACGTCACATCACATCAAATCACACTACATTTGATTGCAGTTCACATTCCTACATATGCACATGACATGCATAAACACCTACCTACATGAATACATACACACACACATACATACAGGCATACAGACATACAGACGTACTTACATACTTACTTGCTTGCATGCAGACAGACAGACAGTTACATAGGCGCACGCACACACACACACACTCTCTCCCTCTCTCTCATGTGCACGTACCTGCAGCTGGACATATAAACTTGCTGGCTTACATACAGATTTACGATCCAGTGACCTATACTAAACCCCAAAAAGATGGAAACCGGATTAAGGACACATAGTGCTGGGATTCCTTATACATTACTCTTAAGGACTGAGCCTATCGGGCTTCCAATTTTTGGGCTTCTACTGTAAACTCACATCATATCTGCCTGTTTGCCATGTGGCTGTGCCCATGTAAGACACAACAAACGTCTCCAAATCTGCGTGCTTCTGTTCGCACATCTCCATCACCTGACCTGCTAAGTCCGACATCCTGGGGACCCGATGATATCCGCATGAGCTGGCTCTGCTTCATGCCCTCCCCGGTTAAACCGGGCGAGAAGGCCCTTAATCCAAATTGCCAACAGGCCAAGGCACTGAAGTACCTCCCTTGCCGATGCCGAACTCGGCTAGGTCACCCGGAACCTGTTATTTCCGTGACAAAGCAGTTGTTGTCAGAAGTCGACCGGCTAATGGTTTGCAGGAGGCAGCCGAAGCTCCGTTGAGGTGCAAGGTTTTCGGCCTAGATTTAGTGCGAGAGTGTAGCGTATCGCGCATGGCTACATGACTCCACTATTAAAACGTGCCGGGCTTCAACAATATCGGGGCCTTAATGATTAGAATAGGGCTTTGGGGCCCACTATACTATCAGTATAATGAAGGAACCCCCAAAATAATAATGATATAGGTAATTATTCAGGCCCCTACTGTATTATTTAGACGAGAATACTTTTTTTCATTCATCGTGGCCCTTCATGCTCTAGCTATATCAAACTCCAAACTCCCAGAAAGCAACGGGGTCCAGCAGGGTAAGGCGCAGAGCACCCTAAAGCTTGACATGCCGGAAGAATGTGAAGAAGCAGCCCCGGCCCAACCAAGTCTGAAACTCTAAGCAGGAAGCAGCAGGCAGCCCCCTTCTAAAGGCCCAAGTCCAGCTTCGTGGCGTAAGGTTTAGGGTTTAGGGGCTTAGGGCTTAGAGTTTATAGGGCCTGAGTTTAGGTCGATCTTAGGGCTCTGGTTGTTTAGGATCTCCGAATCTTTCGGCGCGCGGAATCTATTCGATTCTCTGCAATGGGCCTTCCATTCCAGCTGTACACCCTGCAAATGACAGTAGCCTTAATAACTAGGTTAGAGTTTTGGGATATACCGTACTACACCGGTAAATACGGAACCCTAACTAGGGAGAACTACTACTACTCATAACAAAAAATAATAACAGTATTTAATAATAGCTAGTAGCTAGTAGCTACTAAGTACTATCTGCAAAATACTAGCTCTCCTACTCCTACTCCTACTCCTACTCCTACTCCTACTCCTACTCCTACTCCTACTCCTACTCCTACTCCTACTCCACTCCTACTACTACTACTACTACTACTACTACTACTACTACTACCAACAACTACGATGATAATAATAACTGTTATTCCTGGCCCTCTTGAAGTTGTACTTCAGACCCTGTATTCATGGGGACGAGGGAACCTTCAGGACAGCAAACCCCAAGGCCCAAAGTAATGTGAAAACCCAGACATTCGCGAACGCCTGTTCTTCTTGGCCTGGCCCCCGAACATGTCACTACAACGCATCCGAATGCCTGGTTCGGCCATTTAGGTCATGTAGGTGCCTACATTGTTACATACGGTCGCCCCTGCAAGTACGTGCCAGGGAACGATGCTGTCCTGAAGCACCTGAGGGAGATCTAAGACCGATGGGCTGCTCTGCTCGTCTTTGTTCTATGTTTCGGTAGTGAGATGTTCACGCTTCAGGGCCCAGGTTTACAGCAAGCCGCAGACAGACCTCAACACCACACTCAAACTGGTAGGGCTGTTGAGTCAGACTGCCTGCGAAGGCTTGCTGCAAAAAGTCTCAGAAAGTATGACCATGCACTCCGAACTTGACTTTCTTAAACATTGAATTGATTGTTTCGTTTTTTGTAGGTTCAGCGCTCCTGGAGACTTGAAGTCCATGCCCCCGAGCAAACCGTTGACTTGCTCAAGCCTATTTACTGCCCAGGGTCTCGTACCGCCGTTTCGCTCCCACGATGGCTGATGATATAAATCCTGCAAGTATCGTACATTCCTGACTATGGGTAATGCAGGCTTTATATCATCAACCGTATGAGTCTCTCAGATGTTGAGTTCGCAGCATGGTACTGCGATTCGCAGCAACGGTTGTTTCTTGACTGCCCCGAGTCGTAGCCGTCGTCTGGATCACAGGACTACTACCCTAAACCCTAAACCCTAAACCCTAAACCCTAAACCCTAAACCCTAGGAGGATCCTGGGGGCTCTGCATTGGCAACCAGGAAGTCGTGATAGATCGCCTTCGAGCGCTGGGAGTGTGGCTTTGCTGGCTGCATAAGGCCCTGAAGACCCAGAGGAGAATGGGTCGAATGGGTATCCTGCGATCAGGGACGCAAGAGATGCTGTATGATCTGATCTGAACAGCTCCTGAAAATGAAGACTCAACGGACTTGCTACATGCCCGTCACTGAACCGTCCGGTGTTGAGGCATCCAGGCCCTTCAAGCCGCAATCTTTTCTTGACAAAGCCCAAAACCCCTCACAGCAGGCCACAAGACGGCCTGCCCCCAGGGAAAGGGAGGAATCATGCAGTGGCTTCGCACCTCGAAACCAGGCAAGTTCACAGAACACAAGAAAGAGCCCGCAGCAAGTTTCAGACCCTCTGCGAGTTTCAAGAACCTTAAAATCAGCGTAAGGGGGGGGGAGAGTTTAAGGACGAGGATGCTTGGAACAGCTCGTTGTTTGAAGTCGGGGCCTTAATAATTAGAATAAGGCTTTTGGGGGTTCCTGATTATAATTATAGAATAATATACCCCAAACCCTATTCTAATTACTAAGTCCCCTTCTTATAGAACCCCTTACAGTAACCCTTATAGGACCCCCTTTTAAAGGAACCCTATTCTAATTCTTAAGGCCCCTACATTATGGATGTGTTCCAGAGCTTCGAAGCCCAGACTCTGACGGAGACCCTCAATCACCAAGCAGAAGATCCTCGTATAGGGGCCTTTATAATGCCTTTAAGGGGGTCCTATCAGGGTTTAGGGTTTAGGGTTCAGGGGTTTAGGGTTTAGGGGCCTTAACGGTTAGAATAGCTTTCCTTGAAGGGGGTCCTATAAGGGTTACTATAAGGGGGTCCTGTAAGAAGGGGCCCTAACAATTAGAATAAGAGTTTAGGGTGCATTCTACTACTAGAAT